TGTAATAACAAAATGTTGCTAAGACCTCAGGTATTTAAAAATCAGACTTGATTAATGTGACTTATAATAATACAAGAAGCCCGTTGCAGGAAGATAGCTCCCGTCTCTGCCCCTCCTACCCCACCCTTCTCTGCCGCTTCTCTCCCGCCCGTCTCCACTACCTCAGCTCTGTTGCTTGGCTTCCTTCTACAGTGTCTTCAGTCTTTGCTCCCAGCCGGTATATGCAAATTAGCTGCCATATTTGTTGGCAGTTAATTTGCATATTGCTCTGATTAGTCCATGGTGGGTGTATCGGAGGTACGGTCAATTTGCATCTTTGTCTATTATTAGATAGGATAATTTAGTTCTATCTCAGGTGACATTCAGGAATTTTAAGTTATACAATTCTGAGATTAATGTTTTCCAGCTATTTTGCATGTACACAAATATGTGAAGACAGAAGCACCATACTTCTCCTGGGGAAATAAACAGTAAAAGGCAGTGCAAGTGGGATATACAAAATTAGGAAAAAACTTAATCTTTGTAGTAGAATGAGCCATCTCACTCCCCTGCCTTATTAGGGTAAGAATAATAATAGAATTTCAGGTCCTCTTCCAATGGAAATATTAAGAAATCTATTGTGTATCTCTGTGTAATGCAGTTAATGATGATTGGATGATTGAATATGGGACATAAAAACAGTTGTTATGTTCTTAAATACTTAAAGATGAGCTAGGGAACCCAATATGTAGCCTTAGAGAAAAATGCATATTTACAAAAAAGAAAACACAATCACCACTACCATTAAAATAATTCACATATTTATATTCTTGGAATAATCAGCTTTAGGCTTTAACAATATTAATTGGCCAAAGCATGATAACCAGATTTCAGCCATTCCTTTATTTTCAGAAGAAAATATTGCTCATTAGAAGTTTAGTAAATTGTTCCCACTAAATCTTAAATCTCAGTAATACAACCATGGGATGGGGTTGAGAAGGATCACATCAGAATTATTGTATCTTGATTACCTTTTTTTCTTTGAAGGAAACAAACAGGAACTTTTCTTGACAGATAATCGGAAGTTATTATAGACCACCAAAATATTACAGATAAATAAACAAGCCACACAGAGAAGAGAATGAGAGTAAATATATATTAACCAAATGTCTAACTAACCTTGCCAAAATGAGCATAGTCAGCTTTCTTAGTCACTCAGGAAGAAAGTCTGCCTACATTTGGGAGAAATTTTTCTTCCCTATATGTTTCCAGAAAGACAGAGAAACAGTAGAAAATATTTGAGTATCTTACATGTACTCCAAGGCAAAAACACACAAACAACCACTTTCCTCACATTTTGGCTCCATGGTGGCAAGCCACCGGATACATGTCAACCTGAAGCATTAAGTGTCAACTGAATTGTGTGACTAGCAGATTTTGAATGGACAAGGAAATATGACTCATCAACAATTAACGTGTCAACTGCTAATGCAGGACTGTACTAGACATGGAAGTAAAGGACGTGAGTCTTCATGTTGAGGAGGTAAAAATTTACTGGAAAGATAAGGTAACCTCTTCCTGTTTTAGTCTGGCCTCACTCCAATCCATTCTCCCTATAGCTACTAGAGGAAATTTTCTGAAGTCTCATCAAACCATCTTCTGATTTATTAGCCTTCTGATTCATTTTCTTGCTGTTATCTGCAAGAGTAAAATCCTCATTCAACATGGCATTCCAAAGTCTTCATGATCTAATGCCTGCAACTCCTCAACTGTCATCCTATCACCACTACTCCCACGGCCCACCAAACAAACATGTGCATTTATCTTACATGGTGTTCTTACTCCTACCCCTACCCCACTCCTCCCTCCCTTTTCTGGGCCTGGTTAACTCTTGCAAGCCCCTCAAAACGCAGTTCAGTTGTGTCCTCCATGGGCAGCCTTCCCTCACCCCTCCTCCACCTCACAGTATAGAAGGAGATCTTAATACAAGTTAAAGATTTGGTCATTATGAGTCACAGAAGATGTTTCAGCAGAGGAGAAACATGGAAAATGCAAAGGTTTTCTGAAACCACACTTGGCAGATTTGGTGGATTTAAAAGAGAAGGGATAGAAGTTGTGAAAATCAGTTGGAAGGAAAAAGGTTAGCCCTGGCAATTGAGAAGCTATAGAAATAAGATGACTTAAGACCATTACAAAACCTGTAGTGAGTTTTATAAAGAAAAAAAAATTTAAATTTGTGAGTTCCAAAAATTCATCTTTTTGACTGTTGCATCATTGTGAGAGTATAATGTGATACTTGTCATTACAATTCTAAAGTAATCATTATGGGGATATCTCAGCAAGTGAATTGGTAGGAACGCCAAAGGAGACAAATTATACGAATTAAGAGATTTAGACATTTCCAGGCTGTAGCAATGTAGTACTTAGCCAGTGCTAAGTTACCAGTTTATAATGACAAATTCTATAATCACATATTCTGGCTACTCAAACAAAATACATTTATAGCCACCAGCACTATGAAAGGGCCTTTTTAATCTGTATTTTTTTTTGTAGTTATCTATTGCAGTAATTTGAAATTGGCCCCAAAATGCCATAAACTGATACATCAATTTGATAACCTCAAATTGCTTAGGGGGCTCCTGAAAAGTAAGGATTTTTGGTGGCTGGTTGGTATATCCATTGACTAGTCACAGAGTGGCACATGGAGCATGTGGCCCATTCTCCCAAGAGAGCTGGTCTGTCCCTGGCATAGTCAACTTTGTTGGGAGGCAGCCGTGCTCACCACTATGCCACCAATGCCGACGGCTGGTATATTCAACTTAGTAAGAAATCATAGGCAGTACTATCCAGGCGTACCCCCGCTACACTGAATTGTTTCTTAGGGTTGATTATGTGAGCTGTGTTAACTGTAATAAGAATTACACAATAATCACTACTGCACACATTTTGTTAATTTCTCAATAATGTGAAACATTATTAGACTTTGATGTGCTTTAAAACATCTTTTCACCATTGTTTTTGAAACCAACAACTTCTACTCGTTTTCCAGCCTGAGCAAGTACCTACCTGGGTTCTATGCAATGTGTGAAATTGTTGCATATCTGGTCATTTTTCTTATCTAATCTAATAAAAGAGAAACATGGTAATTGGCATACGACCGCTACCCTTCCCATTGGCTAATCAGCATATCCTTATGCAAATTAACTGTCAGCCAAGATGGCGGCCGGCAGCCAGGCAGCTGGAAGCGA